TTGACAACTCGTTGACCGTAAATTTCCAAGTTTTTCATTAGGCTGCCTGCCAGTCCCAGGCGAGACTTTCTGCTCGGCTTTCTAATCAACTTGGCCGCAGTTTGTCGCGCAGCCGCCTCCTTTGTCTGCCACGCCCCGTTTCGGCCGCATCCCTCTCGGACCTGTGTGGGAAAACTTTTGTACCTCCCATTCTGGCATGTTTAATGAAAGCGTTTTCACTGCGATTTCATTTCATTTAGTCGCCTCCTTTGCCGGTCCATGGGCTGTTCTGTTCTCTTCGGTTCAGTGGCGTTCTGCTCTGTGCTGGGCTCCCGCCTTCATTCATTATGCGCTGCTCAGATTTGTAATTTACACCTGAGGCTAACAAGCAGTTGAACAATGGCAGCCGCGAGGGCAGTTATACAACTTTGGGTGCACGGGGAATTAGGCCAATTGGCAAGTTGTTGAAAACAACATAAGAAAGTTGTTAAGGACAATGAGGTATTTTATCATAATTTTAAGGCCATTTGCTACCTTTTTTTTAAACAATATACGATGGGACTTGAGGGAGATTTTTGAATATATTTAACTATTAATTATTCGAATTTTGATTACTATTTTAAAAAGGCTAAGGAGGCCTTTAAAAGAATGCAAAATTTGTATTCCTTGTTATAAAAGCCTTATTTTAAAAAGCTGAGTAATATTCAATTAACTCTTTACAATTACAAAAAAAATTTTAAGAGCTTTAGGAAAGATATATTTCATTATTATCCTTCAAGAATCAAGTTTTCTTACTTCAGTTTTTATTGCTATTCATCCTTCGTTTTTAATATATGACATTTCATCCGAACGAGGGAGGAAAAAAAGGAATTTGGCTTAAAGGCTTAAAAATTTGTGTTTGTACACACCCTGAAACACAGTGAACCGCTCGAATAAAGCCATCCTAATTCCTGCGAACCGCCCACTTCCCGGGACTAGGCCAAAATGCGAAATGGCTGGCTGCAATTATGAGGGTGGGAACTGAGGACGGCACTGTTTCCGTTTGCTAGGGCAGTTTCCTGCAGCAACTGCAACTGCTGTAAAATGTTTATGATGCTTTTATGGCAGCTGCCCTCGGCGCGGCAAGAGCCGGAACACAAGGGGGCACAAGGGGTGACCTAAAGAATTAACAATATGAATATGAATTATAAATATGCAAAGGCTGCAAGAGGAAAGATGAAGTGCTAAATGGCTTATTACGATTACAGTTATTGTTCTCATTGTGCTTTCTATGTACTAGCAGCAATTTAAAGCAATTTTCTTGTTTACACGAACAAAAGTGGCAACAACAAAGCAAAAGGGCGAAAGCCAACACATTTTTCTGGCATTGACGTCACTGACGAATTCCCAAATCCATCATACGCCACGTGGCCCAAGGTCGAGCTTTGTTCGCATATTTAAATTTCAAATAGGTTGCCCCCTCTTCATGGCATTCGCATGGCTACTTTTTCACTTGTGCATAATCTTTAATTTAAACAAATGCCAAAGGCAAAAAATAAAGCCCAGCATCTGAACCGAGAATTTCTATCCAAGCCAAGCCAAAAACTGAACGTGCCATGCGAACCAACTAAGCCACAGAAAATAGGAACAAAAATATATATTCTACACAATATATAAAATAAAACGTCGGGGCTATGGTCAACGGACTGGGGTCTGGGGTCAAAAGCGGAACGGAAACTGTCGTCGAATGGATGTGGCCGGAGCTGGGACTGGGAATCAACCCTATGGTTAAAGGAAAAGACTTATCTAAGATATTAAAGCTATTCACTGGGGGTTTTTTAGAAGATGGTGGAAAAGATTGAAAATATACTTAATGAATAACTTGTGGGATCCTTCTGAAATATAAATGAATTTGGGCTTTGGATTTACCTTGACTTTAAGTGATGCTTTTAAAATTTAAATAATTTTAATTTCGACTTTTATTCTAATTGCAAAGTTTCTATAAGGTAAGGTTCGTATAGGATTTTCGAAAATTCTTTCAAAGCCGCAACGAACATCGTAACTTGCCAATGCGCCCAGGATGGCTATTGCAGTGGCATGATAGGAACTGGAGGGATTTCTGTGTTGCCACACATATAAGCCGCGACCTGCGAAATTTGTAGCACGCGCAGAACTCTGAAATCGCACTAAACTGAAAGCTTTAAGTGTCAAGGAAATAGACCATAGTGTGAGAAACAGATCTTGACCTAGGTAACACGTTTTCGTCTTTATCTTTGGTTAGCGCCCTTTTTGTCATTTTGTGTTCTGTATTGTATTTTGACTTTGGGCTTGGGGTTTCTTTTCGGAACTCAGTTTGTTTTGTTAGAAATTTATTTATCAACGCTTTTTGTATTTCCGCTGTGGCTGGCTGCTGGGCTGTTGGGCCGTTTGGCTTTTTGTTTATTTTCATACACTTCCTCATTTTTAATTTATGACAATGGCCCCGGCTATTGTGAGAGCCACGCCCTTCAGCCCGGCAGTGTTATTGTAACTGATGCTCTTATAAATGGCCTCTGCCCGTCAGACAGAGTTTCGTTTGGTGCTTTTATCGCAGAACCGGAAAGTGGCGGATGCGAAAAGTGGGTGGCCCAAAAAAAGGGGGCTCCTGTCTGAGAGTGGCGGCGGGTGTTTTCCAGAGGGGCCCACGTACACTTTGTATTTCCGTTAGCCCCCATTGTCCTTGACAGTTTCATTATGACAGCTGGCAGGAGTCGCCAGTTGCCTCCCATTTTTCGTTGATTTTGGTTTTTGTTGTTTAGTTCCGCGATTGTGCTATTAAAGTGTCATTTTGTTGTTGGTGTTGATTCTTTTCGCCCGGCTCCTAAGACAATGGCCAAGTGTTGGACTTAATATAATTATTATTATTATTATCAAACGCGCTTCCTTTTCCTGCCGCACAAAAGCAAGATAAAGGACGAAGGACAAGCGCGTAGATAAAACGCCGCCATTCATACTCTTGACTGATTTTTAGTTAATTTCATTGCCTTTGTGTGTACGGATAAGAGACAATACGGGGTTTATTACGCAATCAACTCTCGGAAATCTTATACTAATTATGGTCATTCCATTCGCTGATTAAATGACCTTTAAATTGACAAAAATTGTTAGTGGTTACAAAGCTTTGAATTCATAAAGTAAGAAGTGGCTTTTAATCATCAAATTATTTCTGAATTGGATAAATAGTAAAATAGACTAACCCAAAAAGGGTTAAAAAGCATTTCGTCGATAATGTAAGATTATTATATGTCAACAACACAAATAATATTTTAATGAACTTTTAGCACCTTTTTCGATTAAATTATAACGCTTCCTGGACTGTCAAAAATCCTCAGCAATGTCCTTGAAACAACTCTTCCATCCGCGTAAATCCCGAAATGTGCAAATATTTAATTGAAATAAATTCAAGCCCCCAGCCGGGCAGATGACGTCTGTCTGTCCAGAGAATTCTGAATATTACGAGCAGTCAGACGTTTGCGAATTTCGGTTTCGAGTGCGTTATATTAAAAGCTGGCAAGCCGCTCGGGATTTATGGCTGCAACTCGCCTTTTTCGGCGTCCGCTGTTCAGCTCCACAGATTCCCCAGCAGTTTGCAGCTCCCGACAGCTCCCGGCAGCTCCCAGCAGCTTTCAGCTCCTTTGGCTCAGTGGCCGGGCTCACATAAATATGCAATTATTTTGCATTTTCCGCTCTCCGGCTCGATTTTTATTTATTCGCAGCTGCCATTTGCTGCGGCGTTGCGGTCTCACGCACATTTCGCCATGTTTATGGCGTTCGCGACTTTTGGGCGGCGACAGCAAATTGACTTTTACACAAAGATGCTGGCAGTGGCTGGGCTGGGTTTTCGTGGGCGGGCCAGCATGGTTGGAGCATATCTTTTTATGCGACATATTTATTTGTTGATTCATATATTTATTCTTATTTATATGCATAATTTGCATTTGACATATTTTTATGAGGCCCGGGCTGCCTGCAATATGCGGCGCAAGCCAAAAGAAATCAAAATACGGTTCGCAGAATGCAAATATTTTCCGAATCATCTGAAAATCTCTTCTCTTATTCAAGTCAAAGCTGTTAAAGCATAGTTCATGGTAAGCCTTTATATTTTATAAATATAAAATTTAAATAGAAAGAAGTAATTTTGTATTTTATATGCAAACATTTTTAATACTTTAGACAACAAAATCCAATTGATATCTTTTATATTCCATTTCTTGCTTAAATATTACATGACAATTTTATCCAAAGAATTTCCAATAAATATTTCGATAAGAGATCCTTGACCTCTTTCAGAGAATATCAAAATCAAAAACCCGAAAATCCTTAGTGCATACACAAGCGTGTATTATTTTGACAAATATGCTTGACAAAATTCCATAACATAGATGTTGAAAAAGGCACACTTTCTTCTATTTTTTAAACTATTTTTATTTAATTTTAGTTTGGAGTGTCCTGTATGCGGTTGGTCTGTGTGTGTGGCGTTGTGTTTTAATAAATTGAAATGCATCGGAAGAGCTGTCGAGAGGCTTTTTCATAGTGTAATTTGTATGTAGCTTCGGTTATTACTTATTGTTGTTGCCGCATTGCCTTTTGTGGCAGCGATAAGCCTTTGGCATATCGCATTTTATTTGCCTGGCAGGCGGCAAAGCTGCAAGAAAAATGTTTGTTCATTTAAGATAAATTTATTGTTGTGTCGATGCAAATTGCAACATTTATTGAATTGTTGCTGCTCTCCAACGCCACTGTTATTATGATTGCCAATGCCAGAGATCGTAAATAGTTGTGCAAATAAATTGCGAGCGCAAATAAATCGCAGCTTGCCAGCGATTGCCGAACGTTTATGACACTTGCGGGTAAGGGCGGGCTTACCGTTAATCATGTTCATAAATATAGAACGGCGCTTTAGTCTACACTTCGAGAAATATGTGTATGCAGATTTAAAAAAATATAAAGCTTTTTAAATGAGTACTTTTCAGTAGAGTAAGAATTCATGCGAGTGCACTCACCATTGAATGTGGCCAGCAGCAGGGCTCCAAGCAGGCGCAGCAGGCTCATCCTCAAATCCTTTCCAATTTACTTGTAATCCAGCGCAGAGCCGCTAGTTTAGTGTCGCTCCCAATGCCGGGAATGAGCCTTCGGATTGAGACCCAAACGGAAACGCGTTTACATTGCCGCGATAAGAAGCGGAAGTGCTCGGCTGAAGGCTGAAGGTTCAAGGCGGCGAACGCAGGAAACCGGTTGGCAGCAGCAGAAGTACCACAAGGACTCTGGGGCAGGAAGCACTGCCAGTTTGACTGCCTCTAAATGCGGCGTGCCACCCGCCGAGCGCTGCGTTTCCCGTCTTTTTTTTTCCCGTTGATTTTTAGCCTGGCTTTGTCTTGTCCCGAAGAAATCCAGTTTCATTGCTCGCTGCCTCGCTAGCTGATGATATTTATGGCTCCGTTAGTAGTCGCATTTTATAGGGCAAATTAACGCCGTTGCAGTTTTATTGTTCGTGGAAATTACCAGCATTAAGTGCAAATATATCTGTTAAGGAAGGTGTGTGTAGTTCACGTTAATAATGACTTAAAAAGATTAATGATTGGCTCCCATAAAGATTCCTAGAATATTGCATAAAAATTATGTATACAGTCAAAGGTTGACATATTTTCTTCCAACTATTAAAGCTGTTGCATTTTCACAGCTCTTGTAGATTCTGTGCATTTAAGATATTTAAATATTAAGCCCGCAGGCTCAGCTCATGCATCATCTCATGGCGGAGACTTTTGCTAGCTTACATGCATGAAATCCACGTTAAAGATTTATTGTTCTTGGTGTACGTTATCCTACAGTGCTCCTTCTACTGCTGATGTTGTTGTTTTATGGGTTTCTGGTTGCCTGCCACTGTTGCGTTCTCGGAATTTCGGGTCTGTCTCGCCCTCCGACATTCAGACTTTGGCTTTGGCCTGTTTTTGCATTGGCTTAAAGCGAGACGAGACATGCAGAGAGCAGGTTAGGATTTGCCTTGAGTTACCGTGTCACCCATGTGACCCATGTGGCGTATACGTCATGCGGATTGTCTTTGTGGCAAGTGAAACGCCACAAGTTGAGTAAATGTAAGCGAGAAAGTAAAGAGCCAATCTCGCGCAAGAACACAAAACGTCTTGTTCAAGACTGTTGTCAAAAACATTAGAAATAGGGTTGTAAATGATAAAAAAAAACATAGAAACGACATTTTTTTTAAAGGTTCTTTAAGCATCTTTAAGTAATCATATTCCCTAATTTACAAATACCTTTTAAAATTTGACATTAAAAATATTCTTTTCAAATACGAAAATTTATTAGCTCCCGTATGCTGCGGAAACCCACATTATATAATACCTCTCAATTTTCTGTCAGTTCCCCAACACATTCATCTTGTTCCATCGAGTTCGCTTCAGCAAACCGGAATGCTAACAATTCAAAACTCAATTTGTAATACACTGCCGGCTACTTGGACTTTTTTCCCCACTCCCCTTTGTACTAACTTGACTCCCACGCCAACTGTCTGACAAATCGACAGTTGTATGCTGCAGGCCTAGCCAAGGGGAGCCGTGGAATCCGGCTGGGCCACCCGAGAGGGCCAAATCAAATTGGCCGCCAAACGTTGCCTGGCGTCAAAAGCCATCCATCAAGGACATGGAGCAGGTCACACAGGGTGGGCGCATCCAACTTTGCATGAAATTGGCTGTGTTTAAGCCAACGGCAATGGTAACATCATGAACTTGGACTTGGACAAAGGCAGATGCAGTGAGAAATATTTTTTATGATTTTGGTTTTCATATATTTACGAAGAATATTTTTAATTTGATAAATGTAAGTTTTGCTAATAAAAGTTAACTAAAACATAAAGTTAACTAGTCTAAACATTCATATTCATATAAAGTCAAAAATTGAATAAAATAAAAAGTGCTTCCTGTGCACTGTTACTCTAAACGAGAGTGGGAAAAAGAGTTTGATTAGCTGTTGCGGGATATGAGACCCACCACTTGAGACTTAATAAACTGATGCCGCCGGGCATCACGGGCCGAATAAAAAACAACAAAATGTAAATAAATAAACGCTTAACTCCTTTCAAAGCCAAGTTTTCAGAGTAGAAAAAATACGTGCTTGTATACGTGCATACGATACGATGCTGGCCGACAACAGCGACGAGTTTTTTGCATTATTTTTGCCTAAATCCCCGGCGGCATTATCATCAATTCATCATCACAGTGGGCGGAAAGGGGCCGGGCAGGAAGTATAGCCGTTTAGTTGCCTGAGCTGCCTCCTGCTCTGTTTATTTAATTTCGACAACAAAAAGTACTCTTGCCAACAAGGAAAAAGAAGAAATTGCCGGCTGCCTGAAAGAGTTGGTCCGAAAGCTTTGTATGTGTGGATGTGCGTATTAATGTGTCTATTGGTTGGTGTGTGTGTTGGCCATTGCGGCTGTGGCAGCGTCACCAGCATAACCATAGCCGCAACTAACGCCAGCGGCTTGACTGCGACTCTCAGTGATGGGTCGACCGACACTTCCAGAAAATTCGAATCATAAACGTTTTTGTTTTAAAAAAGCGCCAAAAATGTTTAACAGTCAAACAGTTTTTTTCAAAACATTTCAAAGTTGAGACTAAAAGACTATTAAAGACTATTATAATATTTCTCTAAGTGCAAATGGGTGTATTTGCTTTTTTTATATTCCGCTTTGGCTGTTGCTTGTGCTGCGGCTTTCTATGCCCAAACAACAGGCGAGCTAACAGCAGCACATGAGTCAAATAAATTACCCCAGCATTGTTGTTGGCAAATTTTTGATGGTTTAATTTTGTGGAAAATAAGTTAAGCCGCTACTGCGGCGACCATATAACACACACACTCGCACTCACGCCATTCAAAATAAATACGCACACATGAGCAAATACAAAGCATGCGAAAACCCACTCCGGCAAAAATTGTTGCCTACTTTGCTGCGCCGCGTATACGCAATAAAATAAACGCGTCGCAGTTACATTTCCGGTCTCCTCAGCTCAAACCCAAATGGAAACGGAGTGACTGTGGTATTGGTGCTCAGCTCTGCCTCTCGGCACATTTTATGCCGCATTGCCATTTTTATTTATTTATTTTTATTTGCCTTTGGCTGCCGCTGCCACTGCCATTGCCGCTGCTGTGCGCCCTTTATTCATTCATTTATAAATTATTATTGCAAAACACTCTGACTCCGCCTTGGAGTTCTAAGCACTGTTACTGCCACTTGAATGTTTAGAGATTGTGTGGGCGCGTGTGCATTTCCGTCAGCATTGTTTGCTTAAAAATGTATGAAATAATGAGTTTTTACCCGCAACGAATTGCTGGCAAAACAAATTAGCCAAATGCTTCAATGCCTGCACGGTTCCAAAGAAACAAAGCTAAGGCAACGGAGCTCAAGAGAAATTAAAGCGAGTGGAATCCGGTCACATATCTTTTCTAGCTTTTGATTTTTTGTATGTGGTTGATTTATATTTGGACCAGTCATCTCTTTTCCTCATTTTTTAATGTTCTTGGCATGCATGGAAACTGATTTTATTTTTTCCCTTTTCGTATTCGCTTTCGTGCGACGGCTGTTTTGAATTGAGCCACATCATCATCATCCACTTTGTCATCGTCATAGCCATCATCATCATCATCATCTGAGCCTGATGGCTGACATTGTCAAAAGGGTTTAAGTGGCTATACTTGAACCAGGAGGAGAATCAGCAGCAGAAGCGGCAGCAAGAGCAGCAGTTGAAAGTCCTCACCCCTAATACTAGACAAATATGAAAGCGCCAGCGGAGTGGGCGACTAGAATGGTGGGTGGTTGGTGCCCTGAGGAAGCATGACATGGAACTTATATAGCCACGTTGCCAAGGAGCAGTTTTAAAGCAAGTCCTCCAGCAGCGCAGAGCGGAACGAGCCACAAAATGAAAATTTAATGTTATATTGATTTCGATATTCTATAAATAATATAGTGAATTGTGCATGACTAGCTGAGCGTTCAACAAAGGAACAAATGAAGGAAGTTTACCTTTTATTATTTAATGTGAATTAAATCGTTTAGAAAGTATGTTTAGTTTAAAAAAATTGGGAAAAATATTATCAACAATATGTATGACTTAATAAATTAAATACTCTAATTTTTAAAATGATTGAACTTAAATAAAGTGAAGTCATAAGTCTTCCAATTTTTAAATAATAGTATCAATAAACACTTTTTCTAGATAAGCTCCCCATTAAGAACCCTCTTCTCCATTATATGCTTTGCAACCGGCAATTAAAATCCCACCTTTCAGTTGCTCCAATCACACCTTTCGTTCGAAATACCGTCGACAATAAACATTTAATTACCAACGATTGTACCCTGAGCAGGGCGGTAATTTGTCAAAGGGTCTAATTAAAAACTTGTAAAAGCCTCGAAAAATACCAAACTTGACAGGAATTGACACGTGAAAGAAAAAATAATAACAAAACACCCGGAGATTCGAAAACGTGAAAATGTTTTGTTAAGAGCTGATTGGACCATTTTGGAAACACGCAATTCACCTTCGTCATTGTCATGTTAATTAATTTGCCGACACTCGAAGAGACAAGTGAACATGGCCGGTGCAAAAAAAAGTATTTATTGTGTGTAACGGGGTAACCAAAACTGTCAAAAGCATTCGAAGGAGCCAATCTCGAGTGGCAAGGGTTAACTTCCCAGCCTTTTACACTTGTTAAGTCTTTCCGATGGCCATCGATTCCTCTCCCCATTCCATTTGCCTTTCTGCTCAGGACATTACACTTTTCAAATGGTAAAATTTAGATTTTCTTTAAGATCTGTTCAATATTTATTTTTAGAGATGTACATAAATAATAATAGCCTCTTTATTAATTCTATAGATAAAGATTATTCAGCTTTATTATAATGTTTTATACTAAAATACTTTTGTATTTTAAGATTATAAGTTCTTATCTATTCATATATTTTTTTTCAGTGGACTCGAAAACAACAACAACAGCAGCGAGACAGATACAGTTCAATGCTCTGGCACGGTTCATTGCAGATGGTAAACCGGTAGCCGGCAAACGTTAAAATGGGAAACGGACAGGCCGAAACATTCGTACACTGGGGCACTCACAATTTGTATTCTTTCCTACAATTTTTTTTTTCGTTTCTTGTTCGTTTATAGCTGGCGAAAATTACGTCTTTTTCGACTTATAACCGTGCTGCGTTGCGTATACGCCGCGTGTGACACATGTGGCGCGCGCTGAATACCCCTGCACGCACAGCAGGCTCTTCGAGACTGAAGCACCGATGCTGCGAATTCACGGCTCAGGATTCCTCTGGCAGTAGCTGCGACGGGCAGCGCTGCGGCAGAGCGAAAAGAAGAAGACCGAAGCGTTTAGGACCGGAGCAAAGAAATTCGTCGATGGTTCGCTGATGTCATGGGAAGCAGTTGGGAGCAGTCGAAGATGGCCATTCCTTCGCATCAGGGGAGGACGAGCTGGGGGGACAGTCAGCGAAGCGGCTATATAGTGAGCCCAACATATTGTCGCAGGGCAGCATTCTAACGAAATCAAGGACGAAGCTAAGCACTTCGTGGCAGAATCAAGAGTCCCAGTCGACTTGCCGCTCTTCGTAAGACTGAAAGCTGCTCTTTTGTAGCTTTGTAGCTGAGGTACTCTTAGACACGACTCTCGTTTCTAGGTCAGTTAGGCGGGTCAAATTATAGGGAAATAATATTTATTTTTCTTTTAATTTGTATAACCATAAATACTAAACATGTTTTTTTACATTTTACATAATTTTTTTTTTACGTTTTATTTTATACTTTCTAAAATATTAAATTCACATAAAAATCGCACTGTTATTTAACAGTGCACTTTTAGAATGTTAAGGGATGTTAAAAAGTCTCCAAAATGTTGTTCAGCTGCTAAAGAACATCAGCATCCGCACTGTTGTATCCGCAACCCTTCAAAAATGAGGAAACTGCAGGGAACGAAATATCGCCCCCTCCGAATGCCATATCTTTACCAAAACAAATCCGATTCTAAAACAGAGTTTCTTAAATGATTTTTAGATCAATTCTCCATCAATCTGCATTAAAATCTAGGAACAAATTATTTTTTCGATTTTTTCTCAAATTTTCTAGAAGATTCCCTTCAAAAATGTGCAAAATGCTTAGAACGAAAATATAAGCGCAAGTGAGGCCATATCTTTAACAAAACCTATGCAATCCTTGAAGGGATTAAGGATCTATCATAGCTTTTCCAAATGTACTTGAAGTCTGATTAGATTTCATTATTCACTAAAATCGATTAAAGGCTTATTAAATTTGTATATTAATTTAAATAGGGTTAAAGGACTTTTGGTTTCATGTAACTTTTATGAAGGACTATTTTAAAAATAGAACTTTTACAACCATTTATCAACCAATCAATATTTCACGATATAAAGAACGAAATCAACGGTGTAATTTGTTTTATGTTGAAAAGAATCGCAAAGAAACAGTGAGGAATATCCTCTTCTGAATCACTCGTATCGCCTCTAAACTGACATTCAGTGGACCAAAGCCAAAGCAATTACAGACTCTGACAATAGGCATGGAAATCGGGGCTTTTAACATTTTTTGATGGCCGGCAATAAAAGCAAGCTCCAGCTCCAGCTCACACCCTTCAGTCCCACCCCCTATTTCCCTGCCGACCACTTGCAACTTGGAAAACTAACCCAGATGTATCCATGAATGTAAGGGAGGAGAGAAGAAATAGCGCTGAGCTGAGAACTTCACGTAGCCAAGAAAGTCGCGTCAAGTACGTTTGGATATTTAATGCCATTTGGGGTCGTAAAATTTTGAGTGTATCTTCTTTTTGGGGCCAGGCTTTTCGGAAGTCGAGGATTTCCAAATACAAAATGCAAAGCACTAAGGACAAATTTGGGGCAGCGCAATTATCATGGTCTTGGACTTGGTTTAGCCATTAGATGACCCCAACTATTTTTGCAAATATATTTTACGCATATTTTATGGGCTTCAAGTTCTGTTTTCCTTTTTCCCTCTAAGGACCATTTTATGGCCTCAAAGTCAAGCAAAAACGGACCTCCAGGGTAATTCTCATGTAGCTTTAGATGTTACTCACAAATAAAGATAGAAAGTAGTTCAGTAGTGATAGACATTACCTATAAATATATAAAATACTTTAAGGAGATTAAAATGAGGACAACGATAGAGAGCAAAAGTTAGTTTTTGTAGGTAAATGTGTTATGTTCCAGATATTTTGTTTCCTTTTTAAATAGAGCTTTATAATTTGTTGTTAAAAATAGAAATGTATTATAGTTCCCTTCAAGTCATTAAAGGATTGGAGCTCCATAATCCCTTATTATACGGCTAGAAGCCACATGTTTTCGGATTCACTTAACACCTTTGAAATAAACTATTAAATAGTATTCCATTACCCGAAAGAATGTTAGAAACATGCAAGAGGCAGCCCGCATGCATGGAAAACTACTGGGATACTTTTGGTTCTGGGATGGTTGGTTAGTTGTTTGGTTTTGGGTTGTACTCGCACTTAAATGCGCATTAGTAAGTTTCATGAGGAGACAAAACCTCTTATGGAAAGGCAACAACATAGGCAACAAGAACAATGTCGAGAACAATTTAGAAATTGAGCTTGAAGCCAGGCGAAAAGTTTTTGCATTTTATGTGTTTTTGTCATTGGAGCTCGCTAATTTCCGTGGATAATAGTTTCATCTTCGTGACAGCACCCCATCTCTCTTCAGTTCTACTCCGCTTTCTCTTTCTTGTCCCCCGATACGTATATCTATCTATCTGCTTTCCTCTAATGCTTGACATGTTGAATTTGTCGTCTTCAGTTGGGTTCGTTTTTCAAGTTTCTTCTCGCATTTCTCTTGTTGCGTGTATTGGCGATGTGCTGGTGAGTGTGTGCGGCTTGGGAAGTGTTTGTTTTTCCCTTTTTTGAAAATATGTACGAGTGTGTGTGAGTGCGTGTTTATGGCGGCTTTAACTTGTCGCAAAAGTTTGCAATTTAAAAAAAGTAAATTGAAATGGAATCATTGTCTTTGGGTTAGAATCCGGCTTGTTGGGCTGGCCTGTGCACTGATGCCAAATGCAGTCAGTTGGCATGAAATGAGCCGCATCCATAGGCCACACGGAGCCAAAAAGATCCTAAATTAAATACGCATTTGTGCTTTGAATAATCTTGAAATTTGTTTAAAAAACACACTTCACCGGAATTAAAAAGAAAACTTTCATAAGTGATTTGGTAACTTTTCATTTCTGCACAAGTTTTATGAGGCAGTTGCAGTTGCAATGGTGATCCTGGATGGTGGTGGGTGGCGCGTCTCACACCCAAATTGACCCCATTAATCGTTGTGGCTCGAGACTAGCAGTTGCGAAGCAAATGCCAAGCCAAAAAACAATGACAAAATCACTGGCCCAAACAAGAGCACTAGATTCAGTTCCGGGGCAGTCAGTGGCATGGACTGAAGGAAAATGGACCAAAAACTTGTCGGGAGGCAGAAGGCAAACGGCAAAAGACAGTAGAAAACGTCGTTTTGCACTATGCCACTCTGGCATGGCTGTTTTGACCTATTTATGGCTTGTTGATCCTTTCAGGGGATAAGGCATTTGTATTTGTCTGCCGTCAGTAAGTGGAAATTATTCAAATGCACCTGAATACCTGACTCCCGAGTTGATAATTTTGCATTTAGCAAATTGATTTGATTTACCTAGTCTGGGGATACATGAATTTGATGACTTCTACATAGTCCATGAGTGTTTATGAATATGTATTTATGGATGGAAATGAATACCCCAGAATGTCTTAAAGCGAATTACTTTACATTATAAATACGACAGTATCTTGGTTTAATGCAAAAATCTTAAAGGAAACTTCATATAATTGATTAATTTTTGTGCAATTTTTGTTTCTAAATAAGCTATATAAATTTCACTGTTTCATTTCTGAATATTTCCCTTTCTCAATTCTCATATTTGTCTTCTCATATCGGTGAGGATATTTTTACCAGCTGCACTTAAAGGCTTAAGGGCTTAAGTCCCTCTCTCCTCTCGCAAAAAAACCCCTTCATATTGGATAGATGTTTTTGTGAGCGCCCTAACAAATGATCAATGCTGGAAACTGTTGCGTTTAATCTTGGACTTGGCTCGATTTCCCCAAAATCCATTAATCATTTCGGTCATCAAGCATGAAAGCGATTACTCATACATAGATGGCTCCCCACACCACAGTTGCCCCCCTTTTGGCCAAACAGAAATTGCCACAACAAACACTCCCTAATAGGCAGGCAAATGGAAAAACGAAATTTGTGCGACTGTGTGTGTTACACACAAGCCTAGAAAAGGGATGGGGATAGGGGCCAAAGGACCTTCTGATGCTGGCTAAAATTGTGAGCCAAGGCTGATCTAATATTTGTTCAAGTGTTATTTCTGTCGGCTTAGTTTGCCCCAGAATTATGCTACAATATTCCGTTATATTTATCACATTTGATTGTGCGTATTAACGGCAAGTTTAGTGGGGCGTGATGACAGGGACCTCCAGCAAGGGGAGTGTGTGAAATGTGGCGAGGAATTAATAAGATAACTTTTGTCTATATTGGCCGGGCCAAGACAGCCGCTGGCTTACGACTGTCAGCGGGTTCAGCGAAACTTGTTTATTTAACATTTTGGCTTAATTTGTTTTTATGGCTACGAAAGCGGTCGACTTTGGCTTTATTTCTGTGTAAATCAGCAGATTTATATATTTCACCAGACTACGCGCTGACTGGCTAATTTGATTTTGAGACCACAACTGAAACTGGGAGAGGAGCACATTTAAATGGAAATGGAATCAAAGTTAGGGACATGTTGTGCAAGTTAATTAGCACAAACAGATGGAAGGGCTTTCGGAGGTTTGGTTTTTTTCAGGGTTACACATAGGAAAAATTATTAAAAAGAACATTGGAAAAAAAGAGGAAAAATTCAATACTATAGATAAACTCTCAATGATACGAAAAAACAACACAATTGTTATTGAAACCCAATGACTACGCATTTAAGTGTTTTTCTCTAGGTGTTGTCGCCCAGGCTATTCGCATTTTGTGCGCAAATTGTTTCAAGGCCTCGGTTCCAATTCAATTGCCTTAGTGCAATACCATTTACAATTGTTTATTTTAAGTGGACTCACTGCACATGAGAGTGTGTGTGTATGTGCGTTTATTGCGGCTAATTAAAAACAAACAATGGCCGCACAAAGTAGGTTGCATGCGGTTGCCCTGCAA